TCCTTTGTTTTCCTAGTTAAGTTGAACTTGAACTTTCTGAACTAGTTACTGCTACGCTGATATGGCCAAGATCAGTGACCCTCAGGAGCGCTAACCTTACTCATTCCGAGGTGTACTGATACTGTATTAATATGCTAGGGTTAAAATCCCTTGTTTTGTAATAAGGTACATCTTAAAACCGTTAAGGTACCCTGTTGACATATTAATAGTGGAAGTCAGTTGGTGGAGACAAATCAAACTGAAGATGGGAATGTGTTTTGAAAAAGAGTAGAAATGGCTACGAAAGTGGAAGTACAAAAATATCTAGTATATGCTGTTTAGTTTTTTAAATAAGAACGGTTTGTGTTCCTGTGCGCAATCCAGATATACTGAGGATAACTGTGTATACCTCTTCATACTTTGATTGTCAACCTAGCTATTTATATGGTGTGTGAATTCTTAGGAGTGATGCACATGACTTGGCAAAACAGTGAATCAAATCAAACGTGCTCTCAGAGGCACCCAGTAAAGGAACAAAAAGGAATTATTCTTCCCTTAGCTGGATTTTGCTTAAAGGCAGCACATTCTGAAAAGTCATTCAGGTTGTGTTATCCTAAAAGTAACATCAGATCCCAGCCTCAGCCTTCCACTAAATGATACGAGGGAAGGAGGTACTTGGTGTCCCTTTATATCTGATCTGTGATGGGCAAGAAAAAAAAGCGTTCTGTTGTGTTTTTCAGTTAAATAACAACTGAGCGTAATAGTTGAAAAGTGTTGAGTTGGATGGGGCAGTTTTTCAGCCTTCATGATCACCTCTTTGAGGGCAGGGTTAGTTTTAACTTGGATCCTGTGCATTTGTCAGCTTTTGAATGGTTCCAGTCATAGTTGGCTGGCTAGTTTGGTGTATTACAAGTTTCCCAAGTTGTCTGAGTGATTTGCAGGGGTACTAGCAAAATACGACTATAGAGCTCAGTCAAAAATTGTAGATCTACCACTTGTATTGGTTACACATGCATGGGAGAGGCTGATGAAAGACCTCTTAGAAATGCTGAACCCTTGGTGCTAGCCATTTTAATATCCTAATATTTTAACTGGTGGTGTTCTTTTTGATACTACCTGTAATCTTCTGATGTATATTCAACTTATTTTCCAGCTGTCTGAACTCCGTGGGATAGGGGTGGTTCTGTTATTTCCCATATTCTTCCCAGAGGCTGGTTTTATTTTTTGTTTTCCCATTCAGGACTCTCTGAAGTATAGCAAAACTGAGAATAAAAATATCTGCATTGTCTGTAGGTTTCCAAGTAATGAAAGACAGCTATGAGGTTTTGTGAATACCAAATCTGCAGCAGAGAATAAACTGACCTGTCTTCAGGCTTTTGCAGTTGGTGTAGCATATTTTGCATACAATTCTTATTTGTGTGGCTGTTGTAATAATCCACAGTATTTATAACAACTTAATGTAAAACTGAACTAAATGTTTGGATAAACTTGATGTTGACTTACCCTATTCATTAACCAGAAGGAATCTTGAAACTTAAAAGGTTGAAGCCTTGATTTTGTTTATGCATTTGTAAGCCACTTCAAAAAGGGGAGAATTCTCTAAATTGTGTTTGGAATACTTTTGGGACTGTGCTTGAGACAAATACAGAGTAATGCTATGGCCTGATACTGAGAAAGCTTACAGATATGAACAGTAGTTAATTTTGTTCAGTAGTTAATCCAGTGTGGTTAACCCTCACTGGTTAAGTAGAAGTGTCATCTCAAATGTTCACACCAGCACTATCAGAAGTCTGATGTTGTATTTTGTTTTTTTTAACCCCAGGCATTTTTTTTCCCTGTTAACATGCTTGTGTTCACGTTCTGTTTTATGCTGTTTGAGTTAAGAATTATAACTCCAGTTGTGTTTTGTACACAGGTTCAGTTCTCCCTCCTATTTCATATGAAATTTTAAATTTCAGTTTTTCCAAAGATTTCTGAGTGATTCAGTAAGACTGTAGACATGTACAGGATAAATACTTGTGGGAAGCTTGCAGGAAAACATACTGAAAACTGTAGTAGCATACAGTGTGTTTTTGACTATAGCAAGTGTAAGCTTGATCAAAGTGCAGGTACACGTGAGTTATGCAAATATGCCCCTTAAGCAGTTTGCTGGCTATGCATAGCGGTGCAACTTGCCATTTGCTACTGGAAATAAACTAAAATTGCTGGTGAAAGTTTAAGTGGACAAAATGACAAGACAGACCTTAGGCATATTTTGACCCGTTTGTGAGATCTTGCAGATCTTAGTTTAAAAAAAAAAATAAAAAATAAAAAATTGTCTAGAGCGTAGTAATATCTCTGTTACTAACTTCAGGCATTGATTCAGTGGTGACAGGAGGTGCAAGCAGTATGCTGACATAGCTAGTTTGGTAGCCTGACTGTTTTGGCACTTTACCCAGATCATGATTTCGGCCTGTTCATGTCTAATCTGAGTTTACAGATGGTATACAAACTATTTACCAAAAACCCAATAACTTTATATTCAAGAGCACCTCATTCAAGACTGCTTGTGTTAAAAGAGTGGAAAGTAGTAGTTAATGTAGTATGAAAAATCTGTTAGAAACTACTGTCAATGTAGAATTGCAGTATGGTAGAATATTTTCATTTTTAAGTTATGAAATATTACTTTCTTGCCATGAGTTGTAGAAGAGGCTCTTTTTGGATTAAATGTGTAGCCCAACTTTCATCTTGGACTTTAAAAGGAACAGTCAGATAATATCTTCTATTATCCGTGTAGAGTATTTCAGTTGGAAGGGACCTGGAACGACCATGTGGTGACTGCTTCAGGGCTGACCAAAAGTTAAAGAATGTCATGAAGGGCATTGTCCAAACGCCTCTTAAACACTGATAGGCTGGGGGCATCCACCACCTCTTCAGGAAGCCTGTTCCAGTGTTTGACCATGCTCTTGGTAAAGAAATGTTCCCTAGTGTACACTTAAGTTAATGAAGAATGAGTTGGTGTCTTGTTTCCAGACTGATAAACTGTCAGCTTGTTTAAAGGAGTTTCTTTAAAGGATTTGTTTTGAGCTACTGTAATCTATTAGTCTCTTCATTAATGTGCATGTCTGTTTATTAGTGATCATAATATATATACAGTCTTCCTATGCACCTGTTTTCTACTTTAAAAATCAGCTATTATACTACCACATGGGCAACAGATGTGGAGATAGAAGTCTTTTACTACATCCTACTATATTTTGAGACATAACTAGTTTGGAAGATGCCACTCAGGATCCTTTTCACATATACAGTTTTCCTTTTAGCTCACATTTGGTGCAGTTGTCTAGCTTTGAAAATTTTCAGTGATGTAGTTTTTGTTTGCACAAGATAAATATAAATAAACAAACATCTTTGCCCTGATTTTAGTGCACAAAGCAAGAAGGGGTGTGGGAGAACTTGGTTATGTGGAAGGTTTGCCACTAAACTCAAAATAACTCATGAAATAAATAGCTAGATTAAATGTTGGAAAGTTATCCTGCTACTTGTCGATAAGATGTTGACCACAAAATACATTTTCCTAGCTAAAGAACTGTCTGTTGCAGGGCTTCCAGTTGGAAAGGGGTTGATGTACCACCAGTTGACCTCCCTGCTGCTTATTTGGATGATGCATGTCTGTGTCTGCATCTCAGTGAAAGGCATTTTTTGTCAACAGATGTCTACAGTAATACTTTTTTTTTTTTCCTCCTTAAACTGCTGACTTGTTCAGGGTGTCTTCTAAACAGTGTTATGGGAGAAACATTTGAACAGAAGTCTTAGATTTCAAGTCAGTAGAAGGTTGCTCTTGCTGTTTACGATGATATATGTGTAATCTATGTGCTTTGGAAAGTATTTGCCAATAGCTCTTGCACATGGTGAGGAGAAGATCTGATCCTGGCTCTCTTTCTTTTATTAACTATGGAACTTTAGAAGGGAATATGACTTGAATTGTAACTCCTGTCTTGTATTATACACAAATCAAGAATTCATAGGTACAATCTATAGAGGTACTTGCATTTTTTTTTTTTTTCTGCACTGTTGTGAAGGGAGAAGCATTGACCTTGATGATTTGGACATAAGATTTACCTTTCATGGTTCTACATGAAAAAGTCTCTAAAGAAACATGTATTAAGAAAGAACCTTGAACAAGAAGGGAAGAATAATTGTTGGCTGAAATTGTGGAGATACCTTGGAGAACATGGGTATACTTCAGAACAGTTGAATATGCGTTCTAAGAATGTTAAACTCCAAAGAATTTAATATATTACTCAATGCTATGTTTGCTAAAGTAAAATATTTGGTATGCTGCTGTTGGAGGAGAGTGAAAATTGTCTGTAACTGATGATTGTCCATTTATTTTTCTTTCAGTACAATAACCATGAAATTCGCTCTGGAAAACACATTGGTGTATGCATCTCTGTTGCCAATAATAGGCTTTTTGTTGGTTCTATTCCTAAGAGTAAAACCAAGGAGCAAATTGTTGAAGAATTTAGCAAAGTAACAGGTGAGTCAATAACTATGTTTTGTAGAGCTGGAAAGGATGTCAAACATGATCAGTAATGAACTGTCTTTGCCATCTTTTGGCTTACTGTTGAATGGTGATGAATCCAAAAAAAGACCACCAGCATTTGTCTCAACTTTTAGATGTTGGTTTGTTTTTTTTTTTTTTAACTGTTGTGCTGAGGGATGAAATATTTGTGATTAGGTGAGATGTGTGGTTCCAATAAGCGTGTAATGTTTAAAAAAGCCATTCTAAGAAGGATATGGTTTAATTATTTCGATACTAATGGATGTTTTAAAACTTTTCAAGGCAAAACTAGAGAACGTACCTAGTTCTGTGCTTCAGAATTCTTAGTGATTTGATAAGGATCTCTTTTTAATAACAACATACAAACTGGCAAAGGTAACATTTGATGGCTTTATCTGTTACTGAATTACGTACTTTAGGTTCCTTGGAGCAGCACTGAAGCTTCTTAGATGTCTTAAAATCATGCAAGTTTGATCTCTTGTTTAGACATCCATGGAAAAAATGCATGCTAAGTGATGTGGCTTAGGTATTTGAGAGGAGAACTGACAAAGCACAACTTGTGGCTGCCTTTATCTCTTCTCCATACAGTTAGAGGAAAAGTACTCTTCCATAGCTACTAAGCTTTCTTCACTTAATAAAAATGGAACCTAAGTCGGATAGTCTAATGTCTTTGAAAACATTGATCTTAAAGGTAGGGAAATTTTATTATGTGCATGGTCTCAACAGTTCAGTGTGTTCATGCTTTTTTTGGAACCACTTGTCAGATGCATACTTACCAGAAAAATAATCCCTACTTTATAATACAAATTCATGGATTGAAGCCATAACAAACAAATATTGTGCTTAATTTCAGAGGGTCTTACAGATGTCATATTGTATCATCAACCTGATGACAAGAAAAAGAACCGAGGTTTCTGTTTCCTTGAATATGAAGATCACAAAACTGCTGCTCAGGCCAGACGTAGGTTAATGAGTGGCAAAGTGAAAGTCTGGGGAAATGTTGTTACAGTTGAATGGGCTGACCCTATAGAAGACCCAGATCCTGAAGTCATGGCAAAGGTAATAAAGCTATAACGGAACTATAATACATTTAAAGTGCCTTGTTCCAGAGTAGGTACTTCCTGACAGTAGCCTAAGTTTAAATAGTATCTTTCAGCCTTCTTGACAGAGATGTTGTAGGTGAAATGATACAAAATACGAAAACACTCTAGAATTGATATGAATTTAAAAACTCTATTGACTGATGCTATTTTGTGCTCCCAAAACTGCATGTTGAATGTAATTCTTGTAAAAAATGACATGTAGGTCTCTGATATGTAATTTCTCATCTGGAAGTGGTGGTGGTGACTCCAAAAATTAAAATGGCTTTGTAGCTTAATGTTTGCAGAGACAGAAATCTAGATACGATCACAGAAACAAGCCTTAATTCTTTTTTAACCCTGGAACTTTGTTTTATCGCTTCAGAATTGGAACATGTCAGTAAGATGCACAAATCTAGTTTTGAAGATGCCTTCAGCAGTTACTTCTGAGAAGTTAGGCAGTTAGTTTGTATTTGGAATTCTGTATCTTTAATTTGGGGGGAGTTAATTCCTTAAAATACTAAGACTAGTAATATTTTGGATTTCGAATATTTCAGTGAAATTGAGGTCTGGACTGTTAACATTTTGAAATACATAGTAGCAGTTGTTTTATGTATGTGTGTGATATTTTGCCAGAAACAAATTGTCTGAATTCTTTTTTTTCCCGTCAGATAATGCCCAACCCTGTCTTTTTCAGTTATGTTGTGTAGCTGAGTTGTTTAATGGAAACTCCTAGCTAGCCCATATCCTTATCTCTTTCTCTTTGCTTGCTTTTCGTCTGTGCTTTTACTCTCATCTGAGGCACGTCACTTGCTGGAGTCCTACTTTGATGGACCTAGTAAGATAGCTTGGCTGGGATCTCCTCTTTGGTGAGCCATAAGGGAAAAAGGGTTGGGCTGGGGGCTCATTTTAGGGATAAAGCTGCTTTTGTAACACGGGTATTACAGAAGCTTTTGGACTACCCTGTCTGCAGACTTTTGTTTTTCTTGCCCAGCATCATAGGCTATCAGCAGTGGGGAAGAGTCTTGAAAGTAAAATTTGTCGGAGGTGGCACTTCCTAAATGTGGTGGCACTTCCTAAATGTGGTGGCACTTCCTAAATGTGGTGGCACTTCCTAAATGTGGTGGCACTTCCTAAATGTGGTGGCACTTCCATTTGTTCAGCTTCTTGGCTCAAAAGAGAAGAGACCTAATCCAGCAAACTGTTATAAATGAGCAGGAACTTCTGCTGACATGACTGAGTAGATGAGCAGGAAAGTGATAGGGGACATAATCGGGTATCTTTCCTAAGTAAGTTCACAGATGCAGGAAGTGAAAGGCTAAAGAAACTAAAGCTTGTTAGTGGTTTGCCCCGTTTAATACACAGTTTTTTGAATGTATTAATGCCTTGTATTGTTTTACATTTGAAATGGGCGTGAAAAGGGAAGAAACATAAATATGAAAAATGTACGGAAAATCAACTTGTATACTTCTAGTCCCAAAGATAGGGCATGGAGCTTGGGTTGAAGAATGTATGGAAAAGTGAGACTATGAGAATGCTGAAAAAGTAGAGAACGTCTAGCTTGTGTCTGAAGGCAGAAGTTGACATAAGCATTGGTGTCTGACCTTTCTCGCTAGTGATGTCCTTTAGTTTATCCTTGTAACAAGGAAAGTCTCTCCTCCAGTCTTTCTTGCCTGGTTACTGTGCATTTGGAGAAACTCTGACCACATCTGGCACTTTGGGAAGTGTTAAAGTTACTCTATATTGTTTATTGCTGTCTTTCTCCTGAGCGAAAGAGCAGCTGAGCTGCTGCTGCAAGTCAGTAATCTCCTAGATGTGAGCTGCATGTTGACTGTTGTTGCTTCTGAGTACTGTCAGTCGGGAGCAAAGGGAGAGAACTGACCCTTATCATCTTACACATTCCTGTGGTAGAACGCTCTGGAGGAAACACCGTGAGTAGGAGTAGGTTGCTTTTATTGGAATAATCATCTAATCAGTGGTTTTCTTGTCAAGACTACTAGCAATGCAAGTCCGTAAGAGCAAACTGTGAGGAAAACAAATTCACCTTTGTAGCCAGAAGGTGAACAGCGTTGTTCTAAACAGCTCGCAGAGGCAGCATGTCATTTAATCAATACTTAAACACCTTCTAATTTAAATTTCTGAATGTTTGCTCAAGCCTTTTTTCCTTTCTCTTCCAGACTTTTGCTTAAATGTTGTGGAGAGTACTGTATGGATGCATATTTAAAGTTTAAATGGGCTGTTACCTTAAATGTGAAGTACCTTGAACGTGACGAGGCAGAAAGCTAGATTCTGAAGCTAGAATTATGTGCTACAGGAGATCAGTGCTTGTACTGACAGGTCAGAGTATAATTGGTTAAGTAATTGATTTCTGGTCCAAAGTAACTTTTTTCCAACTTCCAGTAGCTGTCTTGATAGCTTAATTTCTCCTAGGTGTTATTTTGATGCCTCTTACACCTGTAGTGCAGGTAAATTTCTTAATGTTTTGCTTGATTTCTGTAGTATGGCTGAGGCTACAGAGGATGTTCTGGAGTGGCAAGTTGTCTTATGCTTGTGACCCTGGTGGGTTACAGAACAGGAGACAGGGCTAGTAGCTCCTGACGAATGCATTAATGAAGTCCAAAGTATTTGTGCTGTAGGTAAGAGAAGTTAAAGAATCAGATCCCAGAAGTTTTGGGATAGCCTAATCTTAAGTAGTTTCAAAAGCGAGTTCTGCCTTTATGACAAAATGCTACTGCTGGGTATACTGCTTATTAGGTGTGTATTTATGAATCTTTGATGTTACAATCTATAAGCCTTAATGAAGAGGACTCCTTTTTTTTTTCCCCTCTTTAGATAGCTTAAATGAAGTAAAAATAGGTTCATCTTCTCTCAACCTATGCTTTAACCTGCCTCCTGGCTTTGACATCTTCTTTGACTGGTTCAGCTATGCTTTTAACCTGTAATATGACCAAAAGTGTTAAAAAATGTCAGCTGTTAGAGATTAATAGATTTTTCTACACTGGAAAAAAATTTAAATTAGTTGGTGTTTAGATCTTTTAAAAGTGTTTTATTAGTCAGTGCATCTTGTAACAAAAAAAGTGATGATTTCTGAAGTTTTTAATCATGTCTGATGCTATGTCACACTGAGGTTGCACTAGTGAGGACAGTTTACTAAAAATGGGTGTTACATATGGATTACAAGAAATAAAGGTTGCTCTTGCCATCAAGGCATGTAGGAGAAGCTTAACACAGGATAGGAAGCAGCTCTCCTCTTGGAGCTGACTATGACACTTGTCTCCCAAGAATCAGCAAGAGTGACTATTGCCAAAGACTAGAGTTGATACACTGGGTTGGACTTATGATCTGTAGTATCCCTTCTTCCAAACTCTGCATCCGATCCTAGTTCCACTAGCGGTGACACTAAGATTGATGGCAGCCTGTCCTGTTTATTTGTAACTTAATTACAGAGTAACTCTTATAAAAAGGGTGTCTGGGTTTACTGAGTTCCTATATGTGGTGGGAGTAGAGATTACAGCTCTGCTTCAAAACTTGAAGCATGCTTTCTTTGGTCCCTTCATACTGTGTGTTACTTGTGTTGACCTTCAGGGTTAGGAGCAGAGGTCAGTGCTGCGAAGTACAATGTTCCCTTATTTTTTGTCACCAGCTTCTTTGAAACCGCTAGTAATGGAGAGGGTGTGAACAGAAGTTGCAGGTGTTTGCAGCTGATGTGCAGCTGCATTGTAGGAAGGTAAGACTGTGAGAGTTCTTTGGCAGTAGGAGGTAACTAGACTGTCAGAGCACAGTGGCAGTGTATGGGACTCTACCCAACAAGTCAAAGAGACTTGTAAAGGGTGAGAACTCACGGATGACATCATGTAAATGTGGTAATGTACACTCACTTGGCGCAACCTCAGTGTGGCTGCAAGGATGAGTCTTTTAATACTAACGGGTGTATGGATTCCTGGTGTCCAGTGTACGTTGTCTGCTATATTAAATAAGTCTAGTTTAAGCCTTTGTCAGACTGCTCTGTATTTTCTTTTATCATAAGCAGTTGGTGGTTGATGAAACTTTACAGTGATGATTTGGTCACTGCCAGGCAGTTAACAGGGCATACGTCGATGGTTGAAAGATAACCAACCAACCACTCTGCTCTTCCAAGCTGCATAGCAGTCTGTGTGTAACTTAAGAGCCATATTGCATGCTTTAGAGAGCTGGGGGAGGGAGCGGCCTTTCAGAGTTACTTGGAGGTGGCTGTTCCTCAAGGGAAGGACACAGTTTGGCTTGTGAGAAAGTCCAAGGGTGACTTGGCAGTGTCAGCATTAGTATCCCCTTCTGTCTGCGTTCTGTATTCTTTGGCTTCAGGTCACTGAGTGTTCCTCAGGCGATTACAGTCCTGATGCACTAGGTATTTGGTGTAGCTGTAGCATGGGAGGTGCAAGTCAAGCAGTCTGAGAGCTGCAGGCCTATCACCTCTGACCTAGATACTACAGTGATGACTGTTCTGCAAATGCAAATACCTGAGCAAAAACCTGTCTAAACAGTGAAATGTTTTGATAAGTTAATTATTTTGTGTGTAACCAATCCTGGCTGCTTTCTTTCAAGTTTGAAGGTATTCAGAGTTTAAAA